CTGCAGTGCTCCTGCAGAATTCCAGCATGCCTTACATCCAGATAGTTATTATATCTACTTTATATATATATATATATATATATATATATATATATATATATACTAATTGCATTAAATTATTTTCATCACAGTTCATTATGCAATTATTTTAAATCCATATGAATTATTCATTTAATATTCTCATGACATTCATTCTATATTACATAAAATTATCATCATTTTATACAATTATTTACACATACATTATTCCACAAACTATAATTATATATAATAGTTTAATCATTATAAATAGTATTTTAACATGTTAATTTGTACAATTAATCATATGTATTTATGCATCCTAAGACTGGAATGTCAGTTATTTGCAGAATTCCGTGATTAATCAGCGTGTCGCTGTTGCACTAGTTGTGCATTTTTGGTGCATTACCTCATCGCTATTCATATATTCATACACAAGCTCTTAAGTCGGACTACTGCTCCAGTGCCCTCATCCTCCCCTCCGCCTCGCCATTCGCTTTCTCATTGGCTGTCAGTGTGTTTTTGGTAGCACCAGGTTTTTCAACTCCATGGATACAGTAGAGTGCAAAAGAACTTGCGTGCAGCCAATCACAATGCAGTAGAGAATCGTAAGTGCCCAGCGGGCTTAGACAAGCCCCCCTTTGCCCCCTCCTTCTCCAGAATCCCATCGTAGCTCCTCTCCTCCAGCACGCAATTTCCCAGTAGGAGGCTTCGAAAAGAAAACAACCAGGTCAGAGTCTCTCTCTTTCGAAAAGAGCTCGTACGGTGAGCTCGCCTTCACCCTTTGGGACTGCTGTGAATGAAGAGGCAAATGCACTGTTCCTAATATAATCTTCACTCTTGTCTCAGTTTGGCCCACATAGCCTGTTGTTGTCATCATGAGGAGATATTAGGACCTTAATAAATGTTCTCCACTTTTCACTGTTTTATTTTCATTATTATAAAGGGATCTTATTAGTTCCTAATTCATACACCTCGATCACGTGTTCCTATAATTATGACATAAATGCAAAAGACATTGAACCTTATGATAATAAATGTTTTGTATCTAAGGTAGCTTTCATTTTTGTATTTCTTTTAAAGAAATATGATCGTGTCAAATTGGATTTTTGAGATGGCCGTCCTTGGAATGACCCCCTAATGGTTGGAGGGAGTGCTGGGTGGGATTTAGGGTTGGCGCACTTGGCAGCAGTACTGTACATCATTGGCATGACTTGGATTTAGGTCACATGTATTCTAAGTAACTTTCCAACAGTGGATGAGTATAAACAGTAAATCTAGTGCAAAAAGCATTATTATACTATCTGTCTGTCTGTCAGTCCGTCCATGTTACCCATGCATAACTTGCCACCATAATTCTTTTGTACCATGGAATGTTGACAATATGTTGATTTGTGGTTGTTAAAGTGTTCTGAGTGTTTTTCACTTATTCTTTGCTATGGATAGAATGGTATTGTGGGTCATTCCTAGGTTCAAAAGTTTAAGGTCAGTAAGCTTTTTTTTTTACGATTTTGAAAGACCTCTCTTACTACGGCTGCATTTATTAGATCAAAATACAGTAAATACAGTAATATTGTAAAATATTGAAAGGCATTTATATAGTGTTTATATTTAGATCAATTTACCACATTATTATGCTAAATGCATTTTTTTTACTCTTGACTTGAATTTATTAAACAGAACTTTTAAAGATACAATGTAGCCGGATCAGTGTTTTCAGAAGCTTAATTTATTGGTATATTTACACAGACTGTTCATTTTATATTATATTGTAGTTTTTAAATATTAGAATGTGAATTTGGATTTCATGGCGCTTCAGATTTCTCTGGGATTTTTCTGTGGTTTTATTGTTGTTTTTGATTGTCCATAAAGTTAACACGGTCTGTAACTCCCTCTTGCACACCTTACAACTTAGACCAAATGCCACCTTTGCAAGCAAGCCAAAGCAAAAATCTGTTATTTTGCACTACTTCAGCAGTTGTTTTGTGAGGTTGGTAATCGATTCACGCCACTGACCTTGAACTCTAATCCTGAGCTTTGCTAAGCATTGACCTCCACATGATCCTCAGCGTGGCTTTAACCTGTCACTGCCCCTCACCATGTGTCCATGTCTCTTTTGTAAAGTGTGAATGTCTGAATCAGTTAGAGTATGCTGGCTCGTGCGAGCCTTGCTTCTTTCATTATGGGTTAGAGTGCTTTTGATCATTGGTTTACCGTCAGAAACTTCCATGTATGGTCCCTGTACCTGTTTGAGACCCTCGTGCACAGACGCTCCCCTGACTTCAACCTCACCAGCGTCACTCCTCGTCAAATCTCTCACGCCCATTGTCTCTTTGCCTCAGCTTCCAGACACTCTCTGTCTCTGTCGTCCTGTTCACCTGTCTACCTGTTCATGTCTCAACTTTTCACCTGTCAGCAGCCTGTCTCCTGTCACTCTGCATACACCCTCTCCAGCTCTCTTCCATGTTCCCAGTTCAGACATACACGAATAGCTGACAGGAAATTTCAAGCCGTTTCGGCTGTGTCACGTGATGTGCCATGTTAAACTAAAAATAATATAATGATAATTTAAAATATTTTTCCTGTAATCTCAAGCGTGTGACGGAAATGATACGCCCCTTACCATATTGTGATGCCTTGTCCCGGCCGGAGCGACGAGACAAAAACATTAAAACCC